AAAATATAGACAAGCTATTGTGGACAATGTGATGAGAGAGAGGTACTGAGAGTGAAATGAAAAGAACTTCAAAACATGAAGTAATGCAGGGCATTTAAAGTAAAGATAACATTTAGAATAAGGTTTGTTTGAGATAACATTTGTTAAAATTAGTCTTATATCTATCAAATTGAGTATTGATTTTGTGTATTTATATATTGTGCTGACTAAAAGTGAAATGATGAAACCTAGAAATTTGGAAACTAGGATGGGGAGAAAAGAGGACAGTTGAGTGACTTAAATTTCAGTTAAAAATCACTGATTGCAAGTTTTAAAAGGACTGTTTAGATTTCAAGGGAAAAATAAGAAAGTTAGCTGTTTAAAATAATACTGTAACTGACTTTCTTTCAAAATAATATGGATTAGTTGCGCCATACTTTTTCTTATTTAAAGTAGGAGTTTTAAAAGGTTATTCTTTTATTTTTACTTTGTCTATGTCAAGCCATTCCAAATGTTTCAACTATGTTGGAAAAGAAAATGATCCAAGGGAGGAACTGTGATTGATTAAAGAAGATTTATGACTAGTATTCTGGGTGTTATAGAAACTATAACATATTAACAAAACTTATTTATAAAAAGGAATATAAATTTGGCCATTAACTGACTTAGTAGTGATTTTTTATTTTAATGCAATTATGCTTATAGTTTTCCTAAAAGCTTATCATGTGCCACCACGACATACTCCTTTTACAAACACTGACTCTCAAAATATCTGTGTGAGATAGAGGGACAGAAATTATATTTCACTTTTAATGAAGTGATAATAATTGAAGTCAAGTAGATTGGACAGTATTATACACAGTAGAAGTGTTTTGCAAATCCCCCTGTGTATTTTCTTCATTGTTGATATATGTTATCAATGAGAATATTGTACAACCAGAAAACAAAACTCCCCTTTATAGATATAACATTGTAAGGACTGTGAATAGAATCACAAATCAGTGGTCACATGCTGATAATATTTCTTCAGTAGAAAGCATCTCTATTTCACACGATTATGGAGAATCACACTTTCCATGTTTCAATGCTTAAGAATACTCGTGATAACCAGAGACCCAAGCTTCACTATGGCCAGTGTGAGAAAGCGTACCTTCCCACCACACACTCAAGAGTCCTTCTTTGAACCTCTCAGACCAGTACATGCTATTTACTGATTGGCTTAGGCCTGGATAATTTGGACCAGTGACTGGAAAGAAAGATGGAGTTGCCCAAACTGCCTGCGGTCTGATTCCTTCCTCGAATTGGGGTTGTTATCTTCTGACCTATGTGGTGGCAAGAATGGATGTTGGAAAGACAACTGCAGTGTAATACTGCCTGTCTCCAAACTTATGGTTTTGCTGCCTCTCTGGAATTCAATAGATTCTTCCCTTCTTTCTGCTTATTGAAATATTTCTCATCTTGTAAGCATAAGGTAAAGATGTACATTCTTACTACAAGATACTGTCCTTAACTTCTCTGTTAGATGTTTATTTTATACCACATGATGCTATGGCTGGATTATATTCTACTATTTGGAGTTGATCAGATTTTTTTTAATGGGTTGGGAGTATGAATCAATAACAAAATGTACCCTTATTTATCAGTCTGAATTTCTTTACATGGGTCCCTTTTGTCTTGAAAGTCAGACTGTATACTCTTACTGGCAGGGATTTTACCCTTTGTTTCTCTTGTACCTCACAGAATTGGGTTCAGTGTATAAACAGCATATTATTATTGCCTAATTCTTAATGATCCACAACATAACATTGCTTATTATCATTATGTTCTTGGCCATTAACATTTTAAAACTTATTTTTAGAGGTTATATTTGCCTTTATCTTAAAATGCTATCAATTTTAGTAATTAAAAAAACCCCAAACCTTAAAAATTTCAATTTAATCCCACAGTAGTTTTACCTTCTTGTGTTTCATGTCAAGTAAATACATGTTATAGAGGAAGGAAGGCTATATACAGAAATTATTTTAAACTGGAGATTCTCAGCCATGGGAGAACTGTTACTGAAACTCTCTTGAGTGCTTAATAATTATTTGGTCCTATTACCCTCTAGTTCATGTTTGCTTATTCATTGTAAAATTAAAATAAATACCCTAATTATCATAATGGTTTTATCATATATCAATCTTCTTTGTAACTCCTCTGAGAAAGAGTGGTCAATGAGGCATTCTACATAGGAAGGTTAGGGGTTTCATGACTTTAATCTGCATATCAAACTCGTAATTCCAAATGCTAATAGTTTTCTCAGACTCCTTCTAATAGCTTCATTTTTTTATTTATTCTGCTTAATGCAATTTCTAAATAAATTATGAATTACCATCAGCCTTCTCTAAAATACGATTATTTGAATCATAGAAAAATGATTGATATGCTGTAAATTATATAATTCTGAAGACTGTGGATCCTGGAGCCACACAGTCTGTGCTTAATTCTTAACTGAATGACCTTAAATACTAGTTGAATGACATTGGACAAGTTACTAAACTTCTCTGTGCCTCAATTTTCTCGTTTGTAAAATGGTGATTCTGATAGTATCTGGATTGTAGGATCCTTATGAGGGTTTGGTTTAACTTCATTTCTGGGTTGTATACAAAATGTCTTCGTAGAATTACAGAATTAGAGATGGTAAAATCAGTTTATTTTATGGAAAGAAGACTACTCTTAGATACCACTTAAATTAGTATCTGTAAAATGTCTAATTTATTATATGTGCACCAGCGCATCTTTTTAGAGCCCAAAGGAGCAGATGCAACTGTCAGTCACTTGGTCTGGAAGTGGAATCAGGACAGTAGCAGAAATCAAGACAGTATCTCTGTTTTTTTTCTCTTCCTGTCTCGTAAGCTATCAGGGCTCTCTGCTAAGATTTCTGTGTCTGTCTGCTTCATGATTCTCTGTTAGTAGATAGAGTTCCTCTGCTCCATTTGCTTATGACTAACATAGTTCCCCCCACCTTGGTGTTGCATCCTGTATCAGGTCAAGTGCCCAGCAGAGACTGAGTTCTTGAGTCCTTGAACTTAGTTTTGGAAGAAATTCAAGTTGGTTCAGCTCAAGTCAGGTAACCATCCTCATCCTGTCAGCTAGACTGAGCAGAAGGGTCAGATGACCGCCTGCCCATTCAGTAGGGGTTGTGGGGCCCGTACTCCATAGAATATTCACTTGACAGGGACATTGATTAGTATGTACCTGGTAGATCTGTTTTGGAGTTGGGCTTGAAAATTTAACAGAAGCACTGTAAAATCAAAGCAGAGAATATCAATTAAGCAATCTTCTAATCAATTTAGTTTTAAAGTTTGTATGACATACATTTCCGCTGATGACAATTTGTAATGACAAATTTTTTTTCTCAAATCATTACAGAAACTTTGAACATAAATTGTATTATGCTTTTACCATCATGATTATGACCTTAAACTAATTTTGTGTTTCACTCTGGAGAGCTTTACAAAGTGATGCACTTGGAAAATATTTCATCCAACTCTGGGTGAGTAGGAACTTTGAAAAATGTCATAACAAAATGCAAAAATGCCATAGGTAGTTTAAGTAGATACTATCAATTACCTAAATGGAGGTTAGCCAACACTCTGAAAAGGAAATAAATTCAAGACAATGTGAATATGCTAAAATTTACCCCTGCTTCTCTTTGTGGTCTGGAACAAGATATCATGGCATTAGGATAGGAATTTCCTTGGAAATGTGAAAGAGTCCAGCAGTGAAATAGAGGAGTTAAAGGAATAGAGGGGGAAAACGTAAAGGATAATAAATAATAATAATCTACTTTTATGTATAGGTAGGTAGGTAGGTGGGTAGGTAGGTAGGTAAGTAGGTAGGTAGATAGATCAATCTACTGATTCTGTTTTTTTTCTGGAGAAGCCTAACTGATACATAGCCTCCTCGTTCTTAACTCCGGTGGCAGCCCAGTAGTGGGCATATGATCCTCTGCCAGTTAGCAAATGTCCAGGCAGTGAATGAGATGCTAGACACAGGAAAAAGCACTTTCAGCAGCCTGTTCCTTCTATTATCTAATTTGATTTTCACAGTGAGTATTGAGCTGGATGGTATTATTTTCTTTACTTTGCAAATAAGTAAGTGAATTCTCAGAAGTTGAGGAACCAACTCCAGTCCATACATACAGTTAAAGGTTGATTCTGGAACAGTGCCCTTTCTTTCGATCTGTTTTGAGATTTAAGACTCGATTGTTTATACCGGATTATAAAATTTAAAATCTATACTCTGCTGGAATCAATGAGCCTGTATATTTCCTCAGTATTTAAGACTTCAATAAATACAAGAAAAGTCAAATCTGAATAAGTGATTTAATATTTAGTTTTTTTTAATTTTTAAAAGAGTTTTTTAAAAAGTTGCTAGGAAGAAAAAAAAATAACCTAATTCAATACCTATTTCTATATGCTTCCTTTTCAGAGCTTTGACAGAGCTGTGTTTTTTATTGTGACATAAACACTCTCTCCACAGTTACTAAGAAATTAAGAAAACCTCATTTATTTTTCCAGGGTCCATTAACAAGTCCACATTTTATTTGTCTTCCATCTTCATTTTCAGCTGTGCTTTGCTAATAAGAAAAAGCTAACTTTTTTTTCTAGCAATCAAAATCCATTCACAATACTGATTTCCAATTATTTAAAGAATGAATTGCATTTTGCAATTTTGGCTGGTTTAAAAAGTGGATTCAGTAAATATCTTGCCTGGAAAAAGAGATAATAGGTTCATCATGGATATTGTCCCTTAAGTCGGAGTTACACAACAGTAGTTTGTTTAATCCTTTCCTTTCCCTTGCCCCTGGTAATAACATTTCATTAACATTTTAAACTCCATGGAAAAAAATATATTTCAGTTTAGAGCTTTAATAACCTACCTAGGATATGTTTTACATGAGCCAGCATTTCTTTTTTAAAAAAAAGAAGCCTCGAACAGATTCTAATATTAGTTTTAATTTTGAATTCTCAGCAGTGTCTGTTGACCCAATGAAACTTTCAATACTGAGTTTGAGCCATATTTATGTTATGAAGAAAGACCAAACCCTAACTTCATGGACTCAGGGTACAAATGAAGCAGGTTTGTATGTCAGGTTTTACCCTGTTTACGTAATGAAGGAATATCCTTCAAACACAATCTTGATCACTGGCACTCCTCAAACTACCCATATTTGCCATGTAATACTTCCATTTCTTCTCTGCTGGATTAGGAGGATGGATACCTCTGTTATATACAGGCTTACTGGGCATCAGTCCTCTGAAATTTGGTATTTAAAAAAATATAAACTAATGATCTTCTAGAAATCTTTTTGGAGAGTTACTAATTTTCTTTACAATTAGCTTTAAAAATGAAAGTATTAACTGAATGTATGAAATAGCTAAATTAAACATCAACAAACATGCGTTTAGCTCTGCCCCCTTGATGATGACAGCTGCCTTACCGTTTGTCCCACTGCCTTCTCCCTTCCTTCTCCTTTTTCCTCTTCCCACTTCTCTTTATGCCGGGTGATTCAGTCTTTACTCAATACCCGGTTTTTTAAGTAGGCTTTGCTTCCCTGGGTATTTCCCCTTCCCCTGCAGTTGCTCTGATTGTTGTTAGCTTTCTCTTTCTGCTCCAACTTTTCGCACCTTTGTTCTTGATATTAAATGACTCACTGTGATGCTGTGTCCATTGTTGCTCCTTCTCTCCGTGCCTGCCCGTTCAGGGCCACCTGCCCAGGCTCCCCCCATGCCTTGTGGGCTGCACAGGCTTTCCCTGAGCTCTCTGATTTCCCCTCTGTGCTGCTTATCTGAGCCCAAACATCACATGCTTTGGGGTCACTTGGCCCATAGGGAAAGAGATCGCATCACCTGTTTCATAAAAGGGGTGTTTTTATTTAGATTTTCTACCACTGCTTCACGTTCCCTCTGTGGTTTCAGTAGAGATGTGTACCAATGAGCAAATGTCCTGCTTTGGACACTAGTCCAGTCATTGCATTACCATTTAGCCATATTTACCTCCCTCTTCTTGTCTGAATGACAGGTAGAACAATTTTCTTCCTTTAAAAAACTAAAGATTTTGTAGAGAAGTGGGCTGACAAGAAACTCCCTTGAACCAAAAGATTATTCTGTAATGCTTTCTGGTCTTCTTCTTATAGTGTCATCGTTGTAGCTATGAAGCAGGATTAAGGGGTTATCTTCCAGAACTTTTAAATTCTTAATTACTTACTGCCCACCTCATGCAAGTTGCTTAAGACCTGGAATTATTGAGGGCTTACGGTAAGATTTCATGTGTGTGAAATTGAAACAGACTTTAAATGAAAGCTTCAATGACCAGTAAAGGGCATAAGGCGCATGATTCATTCATTCAGTAAATATTTATTAAGGAGTTGTTTTTTTTTAACTTTATGGTTTTTTTAAACTTACTCTTTCTTATATGATTCTTTTTTTAAATTTATTTTTCCTGATATTTTATTTTATTTTAGGTGGGGGGAGGTAATTAAGTTGTTACTTATTTATTCATCTATCAGAGATACCAGGGATGGAACCCAGGACCTCCTGCATGCTAAACACATGCTCTACTGCTGAGCTATACCCTCCCCCCAATTAAGGAGTTTTTACTGTACCATTTTAGATGCTGAATAAAATAAACTCTTTGTCTTCAGGTAGCTTATATGCTAGTCAGAGGGGACAGGCAATAAATAAGTTAGTATATAATGTAATGCCAAGTGGTGAAAATGTGTGATAGGAAGAAGAAATTAAGATTTAGTCTTAATCAAACCAAATAATATATTGAAGTCAGAATTTCTTTTTGTAACCTGGCCACCTAATACAGCCTCTGTAGTCTTCTCCTAAAACATAAACACGTTTTGTCATCTGATTTGTAATGAGATTTTAGAGCATAAACTTTGTGCTAAAATATAACACACAGGAAGAGTGCCTAAATCATAAGCGCACAGCTCAGTGGACTTTTTTCATGAGCAGTTACACTACTACTACTCAGATCAAGAAACAGAGTGTTATGAACAGCCCAGAATCCTCCCTTACGCTCTTTCCAGTCCCTACCATCCCTCCCAAAGGCAACTGCTATCCTGACATCTGTGCTACCAGCTAATCCTGTGTACGTTTAAACTTTAAATAAATGAAGCTGCACAGTCTGTTTTCCCTTGTATTTGCTTTCTTTCCTTCACTGAGATTATCAATGTTGTATGTATTTTATTCCTGTCACTGTGTAACTATTACTATTACAGTATTTCATTCTATCCACATTTAATATTGCCTTATCTGAATATACTATAATTTATTAGTCAATTCTACTGTGAAAAGGCATTTTGGGGTTCCCTATTTTGGGGTGTTACAAATAGTGTTACAATGAACATGATTGTGAATGCCTTTTGATAAACATACTTTTGCATCTCTGCAGCGTGTATACATAGGAGTAGAAATGCTTAATTGTAAGTTATGCACATATTTAATGTTAGCATATATTGCCAAACAGTGGTTACACCAGTTCCCATTTTTTAAGAGTGGGTAAGAGTTTGAGTTATTCACAATCTCATGAACACTTGGCGCTATCCTTTTTAAATATTAGCCATCATTGTGCTATTTCACTGTAGTTTTCCTTTGAATTTCCATGATGTGTAGTGTTTTTGATACATATTTATGTTTATTGTCCATTTGATATCATCTTATGAGGTGCTTGTATAAGTCTTTTGTTCATTTTTTAAAAATCAGGTTGTCTGTTTTTTTTCTAACTGATTTGAAGGAGCTGTTTATATTTTCTAGATACAAATCCTTTGTTGAATATATGAATTGAAAATACTTTCTTTCACTCCTTGACTTACCTTTTTCACTCTCTCAAAGGTGTATTGGAAAAAGCAGAAGTTCTTAATTTTAATATAGTCTAGTTGATTAAATTAATCTTTTATTTTATGGTTAGTGCCTTTGAGATGCTTAAAAATTTGTTTGGCCATCCTTAATATAGTTTCCTATGTTATCTTTAGAAGCTTTTAATTTTAAACTTTACATTTAAACCTAAAATACATCTGGAAAAGATTTTTTTAATGGTATGATGTAAAGGTCAAGATTCTTTTTTTTTCCCCTCAGGCAGGCATGCCACAGTTCAGTACCATTTATTAAAAATGATCCTTTCCTCGACACAGGTTCTTGGTCCCTCAAGTCCTGGCTTCCTTGATTTAGGCCTGAATTCAGAATTTTATCCCCCCAGCCTCTTGCAACCATTCAAAGTGCTACTTATCAGCTAATTTCTTCTTCTTTACTGACCATCCTTGTTTCTTGCTCCAAAGTTCTACAAATTTGGAAAATAACTCAAAGGGAAAACTGGCACACAGGTGTCAAGCTAATTCTCATGAACTTGTTTCTTTGAGTGCTTGGCTCCTCAAGTCCTGGTGGCTTTGAAGCTCTCCAGTACCTCTAAAATCTTTTTAAAAAATTTTATCCAGCTTTTCCGGGTGTTTTTGGTGTGAGTTTTGGTCTGTTAGTAGTTACTTAGTCATAGCTAAAAGTGGAAGTTGTAATGGCATTTTCTTCTATATAAAGTATGCTCTACTGAAAAATGATTATTCATCTGGTGCTTTAAAAACACCAGAGTAACATCTTGATTAAATCTTAGACCAAAGCAGCCTAAGAAAGACTGAGATATTAGGCGAAGGATTGAGTACTGCAGGTCATAATTCATCAACAAGTAATGAGGGACATGAGATTAACATTATTTTAATAATATTAGAATATTAGACTGTGATCAAACAGAACATTAATGAAAAGAGGCTGAATAGGTTGTTAATAATCCAGTGAGATTTAACAGCCACTTTCTCGACGCCTTGTGTAGGAGACACTCAGTTTCCTGCTCTTGAACGAGAGCAACCATGGTGTGCCTTATCCTACTTCACCTGTTTCCAATGAGAAAAATCACAGCTCTTTCGGTAGCAAGTTCTCACGGGAGTGCTTGCTTATACTCTGCTGCCTCTGCAAAAAAAAAAAAAAAGAGAGAGAAAGCATGTACTGCAGAGTGTCCTGACACCAGTTTTAGCAACATGCTTCTTCAGACCTGTGAAAGACAGATAAAAATAAAGTCACAGCCTCAACGGGGAACAATGTACGTTTGAGAGAGGGCCACTTGAGTAGGGCCAGCTGTTACAGCTTGTAGACAATAAATATTCCAGGCTGCATAATAGAAAACGGAAAATAGAAAAGACCAATGCACATCAGGGCCAGCCTCATCCCACCAGACGACTTTATCCTCTGCTGACCGGAGGTCCCCTTGTGGCTGCATGCCCTGTAGCATTTGGGACTAAGAGGAGGCTGCGTATTCTGAAGAGGGAGGTGCCAACAAGTCACCTATGGTGAGTATTTCTTGATACAGCCTTTTTTAGTATCTTTAAAAACTGCTTTGTATACGCCAGGACCGAGAGAGTGATATATCTAAGACTTATAGGAGATTACCATCTAACAAGTATGTTAAACCAAAGAGAGTTCTTCAGTCTGGTGGGTGACTTAAGGCAATGATAGCGAGTGGAGGATGGAGGGCCAGCTCAATCTGGGAAGTTTAGGGAAGCATTTTCAAATAAATAGCATTAAATAGAGCATAATTTTCTAATCTATAGTATCAGTTGAGCTTTGTTCCACAAGCATCTATTCAGTACTTGTTATGTTTCAGATATTGTATTAGGTGCTGAATATAAAGATTAATAATATATAGTTGGCCTTGTCTACAGAAGGGTTTCTCAGCCTCAGCACTATTGACATTTTGGACCAGGTATTTCTTCCTAGTGGGAGGCTGTCCTGTACCCGGTGAAATGTTTAGCAGCATCACTCACTAAATACTAGTAGCATCCTTCTGCCAGTAGTGACAAGCCAGTGTCTCCAGACATTTCCACATGTGCCCTGGCTGGTGGTGTGAGGGTGCAAAATCACTTCAGGTTCAAACCACTGCCTTAAAGAAATGTAAATCTAGTGGGAGACACTGAGAAGTTAATAGATAATTTAATGTTTATTTCTTTTGTTTTTTTTAAAGGGGGTAGGTAATTAGGTTTATTTTTATTTTTTAAAGGAGGTACTGGGGATTGAACCCAGGACCTGATG